CTTACAATAACCGGATCTGTACAATTCTAAGCCAGTAGAGTTGAACATATCCCAGTGCTTTTTCTTACGTCTAGGAAGTTTCTTGACCTGTTTAGTTATCCTTGGTGGACAATTTTTCGGTCTACGTGGCACCAGGTACGGTATGAACGAGGATTTGACTGAACTAAACTTGCCTCTAAATATAAACCACGTTTTTTCAACCGATGAGCTAGTGTCAACTGACCAATCTGTCTTAGCAGTGCACTCCTAAATGGCTGATATATTAGTTCACTATACATTTGGGCGAGTCTGAACATGAATGAAATAAAGCACCATGATCGCTATCAAATAACTGTGGAAGAGTATTTATATTGGCAATATACTCAATCGGATGAGTGATTACCAAGTCCAACAGAGAACCTTAGTTTGCACCAAAACGTGTGTGCTCCATTACTGTTATCAGGAAACTACTATCAAAGTAGCCATCTCAATCCAACTAATATCAGGTGCATTAAAGTCTCCTAATATCAGCCATCTGTTACTTGTCCTCCATAGGTAAATATGCTTTAAAATAATGTCATTGGCTAGGGAGATTGCGCAAAGATGGATGACATCGAGTATAAATGCACAACAATCAATAGTGTGTTCACGGTTAATGACCTTACAAGTTCCACTATCATGGGATTCGCATGCAAAGTTAACCACAACAAGCACTACCATTTTTGAAACATGCTGTAGCTGTAAATAAATCCCTAAAATCAATATCTCTGTAGGTGTTCGACATTGGGTGCTGACCACATCAGTTTTATTGAACTTACCTGGCTGGAGGAGCTCGGTCATGCATCCTCAACAGATCATGAGTGTGAATGCCGTGCTCGACTTCTACTTCAATCATTAGCACGATTAGATCAGTCACCCCTCGATAATATTGATAATCTATTGAATATATCCCCCGACCTCCTCGCTTCTGACTTTTGGTTTCACTGTGTGGGCGCGATTCAATTATAGAAGGTGCTACTGGTAAATTGTTATCAAACCACATACCTGTGGTATCTTTAATGCGCTTCCTAGTTCATTGGTTTATAATTCCAACATTTTTAAAAATACATGATTTGATTCTCATGCTGTATGCCTTAATAGATGGTCTCAATCAATGATCTTTCGAAAGTTATAAACAATTACGTGCTATATAATCTAGGAAACTGTGTCATTTTCTAATTTTATCGGTTGAAGTTGACGTGTGCTTTGTAATGGTAATAGAAGCGACCATAGGGACATTTTGTTGTAGGCGAAATTTAGACAATTGACGGTATAAACAATAAGAAAGTAAACAATTCGGTGCACATGTAGGCGAAAAGTAGACAATCCAGTGACATTTCGAACATTGAGTGACAAAAAGTGAGCACTTCGTAATATTCTGCCACAACAGGCAAAAAAGTAAACTTTTTTGATCAACTCCCTATTATTCCCTGCCTATATTTTAACAGAATGATCTTTTTATTTTACACTTATTGGCTGCTTGGGACACTATCTGCTGGAAAGCTCAAATGAAATATGATTGATAAAATGCAACAAGGTGTGAACACAGAAACATGTAGTTGAAGGGAAGAAAATTAGTAGTTTATGATTCACGTATAAAGAGATAAAGAACAAAGTAAATACCGTTTCAATGTCTGAACGAAAATGAATTTCTATTCGTGAGACCAATGCTATCAGCTTTTTCGATACTCGATCAGCAAACGGAATACATTAACCGACACTGCCGTAAATCTATGACAGCGAGTGATTACCAGAATTTGAAAACCAGGATTGTCAAAACAAGTTTATTATCATGTTGGCGACCTAATAAGTAGGTATGTACGACGAAGTTATCGCTCCGGTTGTTTTTTCTCTCTACTTTTCAATGACATCTGTTGATAATAATGTAATTATATTTGAAAATAAACATTTAGGGGGAGAGATTGTTGACAGAAATAAATTATATGGACCTATCAATCCGATTTCGATGCGAAATGCACTCCCGTATCGTAGCTTATGTCATTTCTTGACAAAATCATTAAGAATCCATGTATTATTGTTCATTATTCAGGTCAAAACTGTTTATCATTTGTGCTCAAATCAAGTTTTTTAGATAATTAGTTTCTTCATAACAAAACACTTCTCCATGATTGGAAAGAAGTTCCAGATCATCCATAAGCTTCACTTTCACCCACATTGCTTGTTCTGCAACATTCTATGTTATTAAATTTTGACCTTTCATCAGTCTATGGAGGACTGTTATTTCGTCAATTCATACGGATGTAGAAGAACACATTCAATGTCCAATTTTTGGTAAGTTCTCTGATAGAAATATTCTAATCTGACGGCTATTAGGGATTTGTGGAGTAAACTACCGATTAGTCAGTCAGAAACTAGTCTAAAGATTCCACAGATACTCATGGTTTGACAAGGTTTTTGTCCATAACACCATAATCAAAAAGTCCATCAAAACCCCAAACCAGATACCAGGGTGAATGTATTTGAAGATATTCTTGAAAGGTCATCGATATGCTGGGAAGCGTTTGCTCTATGTTGTCCAGTTGTTACAAGGGATACTTAATGAGGTGTATCTACTCGTGATCTGGTGCGGATGCGTTGCTGAGTAAGTTAAGTTAGAGGAGACTAGTAGTAGGAATTAGGTCAGCATCGATGTAGAAGACGTACCGAACTATTCATGTTATGGATCTATTCGTCAATACAACTCACTGGGCAGCTAGCAGGGCCAATAATACGTTTAAACCCAACAAATTTGCCGTTTGTAAATGCTCTTCCGACGGCTTGCTTTTCCAACAATATCTAGTCATTTAGAACAGAGTCACAATAACAATAAGAATTGTCAAGGACTTCCGATTCATCGTATTCCTACTCCGTTTTTCGTCTTTTTCAGTCGTTCTGGTAAAGAAAAAATATAGAAATGCAAATTTCCGTCAAAATACACTAGTGCTTACGTAGGGAAGCAAAATGTTTGGCAAAAACCTGGTATATATGCGCATTTATACCATGCGAAAGCGTGGGTTATTTTGGCTTTAAAAGAGTATTTCTTGGATTATTCCATGAAAAATATATCTGTATATAAGCATATTAGTAGCAAACAGCACTTTGTTTTGATACACCAAAAAACAGAATATAACCAAGTATTTGTGGCACGCGAAACTCCATATTTAAATAAAACATGTACAGTGTGCTACATATAGTAGTAATTCAAGTATTCTTGAAGCATGACCCTTCTTGCGGAGTGCGTTGTTTTGTGCCACTGACTGAGTACGAAAAAAGTTTCATCGTGGTCGTTAACTGCCTGGAATGGGTTTGCAATCATGGAGATTATGTCGTGTGATTGTTTAAGAGTAAACTGAAAATAATTGTGCTTTTCCTCTTGACAAGCATCTTTAAGGTAGTCTATATTGAAGTTATCTCTAGTTCTGGTCATATAGATGGTAAAGTATATAGGTTTGTGACGGAATTTGAAAGGTTCTTAGTATGTATTTTCGAGATGTCGGCGTGTAGAATCGTAGCTGTCTATGAAAACGGCTTAAATCTTAGTCAGTGTTGGTGTAAATTCGACGGCGATGTTTTTACAGTCTGCAGGAGATTTGTTCGACTACTTAAACTGATGATTTGCATGCATGAATGTGTCGCTAAACTTCCGATTAGACCGACAAAATTTTAAAACATGCAGTGAATTAGCAACCGATGGAGAAACATACTGCAATCATCTGTAGTAGTTGATGATAAGGAGTAAACAACACTATTTGGTGATAATAATTAGTCAGTTTGTTGACCGATTTTGTGAATAGTTTCATCAACCTGATCAACCATATTACGCGATTGTCAAGTCAGACTGACAGACTAACAGTTCTCAAGTTGGTGTACCGGTTCACGTTGGGCTCACCAATGAAGATGCTACAAGTATTTGGAGTTTGACAACGCCTTAACCAGTAATACGTTCTGCTATGAATCGTAACCACCTAGTGAAATCGAAATTCAGAAGCGAGGAGGCTAGAAGATATAGTTGATAGGCTGTCAGTATATCGAGAATCGATTGAACTATACTGGCTGGTGATTGCTGGGGATGTTGAGCCCGGTGTTTTCACTCATGATCTGACGAGGATGCATGACCGAGCGCATTCAGCTAGGTGAGTCCAATAAAATTGATGTGGTCAGCATTCAATGTCGAACACTTACAGAGCTATTGATTTGGGGATTTATTTGCCGTTACAGGTAGTTCATAGAAAACAACTATCAATAACCTGCACAAAGATGAGCAACCAAATGTCCGGAGTGCCTTCCACTTGGTTGTGATTTACAGAACACTGACGAATGAGCCAAAAACTTCTACAATAAAGCGAAAATCCTTATCACATAGTTTGGAAGTAGGGATGTTACGGAAAATCCATGTTGCATGAGATGAAGTGTCATTGAAAAATCAACAATTCACGTAATAGCAGAAGTGTGAATACACTGTCCACAGTGGAAGTATCTTGTTAGGCGTCTCTGATCTATCATAGGTCATATTCTATGAGGTTCATCGGTATTCGATGAAGAACTGTAGTAACCATTCTTGTATTCAGAGGTAGTATACCGCTACAAACTTACTGCATGGTAGAAGACAACACAAATCAGAGACAATGAAATTGAAATGTCACTTAACTTCTAGTCTGAAGAGGTATGCAGAGTGAGGTAACTGTAAGAGTTTTTAGGACAGAAGAACAAGAAAAATATGGAAACACTAGGTAATCAACCATTTAGGATACACGGACGTCTCCAAGACAGAGTAACAAATCACAGTAAGCAATGATATAAGTCTAAAATTTGTACGGTTCGTTTACTGAATTAGAAGTTGTCAGCGCAAAGTTTCAAAACGGAAAAATTACAGCCTTTCCAAACCGACCAATAGGGTTGAAGCCAGGCACACACTCACCTGTGCTACTTATAAAATTCTGACCCATAGGGTCTCCGGAATATTCTCTCTTTGTTGTTTAAAGATGTCTGGATTTACAGGAGTAGGGTGCAAGAAGGAAGTGAGTTACTTTTTCATTATTTTCAGTATTACCTCGTTATTTGGAACAGTATATGTGTATATATTGGTCATGTGTCTAAACAGGTCTCGATAGCTTAATCAACTTCAGGGAAATTTAAGTTTATTTTTAGGATTAACACATCGCTGTGTTCCACCGCAAACTTCTCATTCAATTACCTGACAACTGTAATACGCCATTAGTTGATCGAGAATCCCTGGATGACCTCACTGTATGTATGCCGATTTCTACCTCCTTACATCCCATAGAAATGAACGAGTTTTTATCTCGTATTGAATGATGGTCTGTTGGTAATGGTCTCTTACTTAATCCATCTAAGTGTCAAGCTGTTAGCTTTAGCCTGAGACATGGACAGAACCTTTACACTATTTTGGGATCCCATAATGCTTGTGCCATTGGAGACTCTTTGATAAACACAGTGTCGAAGGTCAAATATCTTGGCGTTACTTTTTCCTCTGATCTTTCTTGGTCTTCTCATGTTTTACTGTTATCGAAAAAAGTTTGCTGTTTGACTTACTACATAAAGAGGCTGCATGCTTTTGAGATCACTCGCCATTTACTTTTACAATTTGTAAATTCCTGCATATTACCTATTATTCTATATTGTTCTCCATTATTCTTTCCCGAGCTTTTGAGAAAAGACTTTTCTGTTTTGCGGAGAGTGCTGAAGCCAGTTTGCAAGGTGTGTGGTGAATCTTTTGAAGTCATTATAAATATGCTTGTGGATAGACATCTTAAGGCTTGCAAACTCTTATCAGGTGTTATCTTATCAGATACTAACCACCCACTTCATTCATATCTTACTCCTTGTATATCTTCTGGTAGAACGAGACGTAAATACATTACAATCCATGCACGCAAGCAAATCTATAAAAGTTCTGTAATACCTTACCTAGCAAATTTACTTTGTAACGAGTAGGCTGTTAGAGTTGACCTAGTAACTAACCTGTATTCTTAAGTATGTCTCAAATTTGATAATTTGTACAGACTCAGATTTTTTAAACCTCTTTTTTCATTTCTTTTCTTTTTGCTTGTTTTTATGTTTTTTTTTGGGTAGAGAAACTTGTCGAAATAACTCGTGCTGAGAATTCTATATTGTGCCAGATTATAATATTGAATAGAGCCATTAATAATAATAATAACTTCTCAGGTTGATATAATGTTTAACCCATTAGGGTTATTCGAAGCACTAAGTTCTGTTTTGAGTATTACTTTCTCTATACCCATTTACACACGTCTATAAACAATACAGTTTTCCCCGCAACTATGCAGTATTTTTTGACTTGTGTTTACTGGTTTGATCAGCCTTAATAGGTTAGTGTCTGACGAAATATGTTCACTGATTCAGAAAGCTCATTTGGCTCTTGTCAACTTACGTAACCTATAGCGAATGCGAGATATCCGTCTATCACTTAAGCGACGAGTATACTACTCAGCGGCTCGTTGTGTCCTACTTTACGGCTGTGAAACGTGGCCAGTAAGAGTAGAAGATACTCGTAATTTACTAGTATTTGATCACAGATATCTTAGAAATATTGCTCGCATCTACTGGGATCACCGGGTAATAGTGAGGTTAGATACAGGGTATTAGGGAATGATGGTAAATCAGTTGATGAGGTTGTTAATGTTCATCGACTGAGATGGTTGGGTCACATGTTACGTATGTCTGAACACCACCGATTACCATGGCGCACAATGCTGACTAGTGTTGGGGATGGTTGGAAGAGAGTTAGGGGCAGCCAAATCAAAACATTGCATCAGTCCATAAAATCACCAACTTGTGATGTGAGCCATGTTGGTAGATGCAGACTACTTGGTTGGAGTCCTCGCGATCATCGTAACCAGTGTTTGGAGACTGAGTGATATGGCTCAGAATGGATCACAATGATGTAGGTGTGTACTCTCTTTATCTTTCCTTAAACGGTGGGATTAAAATGTGGCAAGTTGGACTGTTGCATATGTGTGCGTGGTTCCTATGTTTAAGCTGACTGTACTAGAAAACCTCCATAGATAATTTATAAACGTAAGTGGTTTCGTAGAGAATTAGACTTCTCCAAAACTGGACAAATTTTGAACTCTATTTTTTTCACAATGTATAACCACGTGAAGATCGGGGAAGTTTCGTGAACGTTACATTTTCAAATGTAGCTCAGCATAATCACTTGGTAATAAATATTCTTGGTTGGACGGATTACTTTAATTCACTTTAGGGCTAATGCACTCATTCGAGTTTTCACCAAATGGTTTATTTAAAAGCTAACCTAAAGCTACTGATGCTACTCAAATTTATTGGTGTGATATGGATTGCGCACAACTAATTTTCTTTGAATTATGTACTATGTCAACTAGCTATCATCCTTCAATTGTACGTGATCATAGTCTGGGGTTCTACATTAAGATAATGTTTAGTGAGTTACGTCTAAATTTCAAGTGTCTGCATATGGTAACAGATCATTATATCATATTCAATTAGGTGGTATGAATTTACGTAAAAGATACTAAATAGACAGTTAGTTATTAATCATTATCATTATTATTGCCATAAAGTCATAGGTAGTTTGGCTCAGGCTCCTTACAACTCATTGAAGCCCGTCGGTCTACTCCGGGTGACCGTGAGTTTGACCACAAACGAAGGCTGTTACGCAATGAAATTGCGCAAAGCTTACGTAAGAACCGAGAAGCCTGATGGTTGGAGCGTGCTAATGAGCTAGAAGCAGCAACTGCATCTGGTAACTGCCGGAAGCTCTTCCAACTCATCCGAGCCATTGGCAGCAAGAAGTCTGATGTTAGTGAAACAATCTGTGAGGATGACAGGATGCCAATCACTAACGTCTGTCGACGTTTTGGACGATTGGCAGAATTCTTTGAAGGGCAATTCAACTGCCCTGCTGCTACGGCAACATCGATCAGACTATCCTGCCCTTCATGACTGGTGACGAATGATCCACCAAACGAGGCGTAAGTCTGTAAGGAACTCCAACTCTTGAAACGTTCTGGTAGAGGATGTATTGATCATATTTTCACCCTCCGCCAAATGTTAGAACACCGTCATATTTATCACAAGCCAACAATCGTAGTGTTTCTTGACATCAGGGCTGCCTTCGATTCGTTGGACAGGACTGTCCTCTGGGATTGTCTATTGAAGAAGGGTGTGCCTGAGAAGTTTATTAACATCTTAAAGGCCCCGTATACAAACACCTCAGGTAGAGTAAGGGCATACAACCACCTTTATCCATTGTTCCATTCAAGCGGTGGTGTTAGGCAGGGTTGCCCAATCTCACCATTCCTCTTCAACTTTGTCATCGATGACATTCTGGAAACAGCTCTGATCGATGCAAGTAGTGGCGCTATGAATCTGTTGCCTGGAGAAAGACTTCTCGACCTTGAGTATGCGGATGATATTGTCTTACTGTGCGATAATGCTCAAGCCATGCAATCCGCACTTAACCAGTTGGCAATCAGTGTCCGCAGGTACGGCATGTGCTTTGCACCCTCAAAGTGCAAAGTACTCCTACAAGACTGGCAGAATTCTCATCCTGTACTCACCCTGGATGGTGAGCAGATTGAAGTAGTTGAGAAGTTCGTGTATCTAGATAGCTACAAAAGTGCTGGTGGTGGCGTGAGTGATGAGATCGATGCACGTATAATGATAGCCAAAGTGGCTTATGCCAATCTGGGCCATCTTTGGCGCCTTCGTGATGTTAGTCTGGCTGTAAAAGTTCGGATCTACAACGCGTCGGTGAGAGCAATTTTGCTGTATGCTTGTGAAACCTGGCCTCTCCGAGTTGAGGATGTTAGACGTCTCTCTGTGTTTGATCATCGTTGTCTCCGAAGGATTGCTGACATCCAGTGGCAACAGCATGTTAGTAATGCAGAGGTTCGGGCGCGGAGACGAAAATACAATTGGTATCACCATCTTGAAACATTGACTTCGGTGGCTTGGACGTGTTCTACGAATGTCGTCCCAGAGAATTCCTCAGCGTGCATTGTTTGCCGACGCTAGGACTGGTTTTAAAAAGCGGAGAGGTGGTCAGTGTATGACATGGTGTTGTGGTATGAAAGAAAGCTGCAAAGGGTTGGCTTCTGTTGGTCTTTCACGAATCCCTGGCTGTGGTCCGAGGGATGGTGCAACACAGTGGCTAGAGATGTTATCAGATATGGCTCAGAATAGAAGCCAGTGGCGATCCTGCTGTAACCTCATACCTTCTTCATAAAAGTGGTTGTAACTTCCCCAACTGAAAGAATTTCCGGCTGTACCTTTCCGTTTCCCCTATCATTATTATTGTCATTATCACATTATTATTATTATTATTATTATTATTATTATTATTATTATATTATTACTATTATTATTATTATTATTATTATTATTACATTTCCATACACTAATCTGTGGTCATTATTATTCTTTTTGTCTTCTCTCTTATACTCACGTTACATTCTTTTTCTCTTCCCATTCTCATGGTTATTGTGTGGCGCATATATATATCTGGTGCCCCTTGTACCAATATTTATGTGTTCAAATAAAGAAATAAAGTAAATAAAAAGGCAATTGTGTGTATTAGTTTTGAAGTTAGTAGTATATCATTGTATCCAACTGCTTTTGGAATGTACCGACATAAGAAGCCCTAACCAAGTATTAAGGTAAGGAGTTCTACACAATGAGTGGATGAGAGTCAGTAGTTAAATAACGCGCAATTATAAGTGGTTGTAAGTGACAATAACTCTAAGATCACTGTTGCTGGACAAAAGATAGCCCAACACTTCACAGTTTATTTACTGACGCTTCTGTTACCAACATACATCATAATCTACATTGAGATAGTTGTTAACAGCCGAACCATCCAACTAATTTCTGCAGATCTTTTTTTGAATCCGTACGCTCTCGGCCTCATTTTGCACTGCTCTTCATATCTTAGTATCGTTGAGATAGATAATGTCAGAAAACTAAGAAAACCATTTACATGGAACAGCAATAGCACTAATCCGAAGACTTTAACTTAAGGAATTCCACTTTGCACTTTTCCAGCTGGATAACTTGGAGCTAACCCATACTCTTTGTTTATTATTACAAGTGGGTTTTTGAGTATCCGACATTGTTTAAATTTGGTAACTGTCTAGTTCATGAGACTGTCAAACACCTTGCTGTAGTCTGTAATCACCGTATTTATTAATAGCTTATGATTTTTCAAAGCTTATTAAATTATTTTACTGGTAGTTAGTTTATCAAACACGAACAATCCGTTGTGAGACCATCATATCTTTCAAAAAGTATGATCTTGGTGGGTTAACACGAAATTTACCAACGATAGTAGTGGATCCGCTTCATATTATGTTGCTTCATTTGCACCGACAGAGCAATTGTCTTAGGATCCATGTTTGTGTGTATCATTAGCATTTCACCCCATAACAACATTTATTACTAAAGTAACCCTTAATGACAGACTGGTCTTGTCGTCGGTGTTGACAGTAAAATCTTGCTTTTGAAGGGTGTTGGGGTAAGATTCTTACAAACTTCGTTGTACCAACCTTTGCACTCATCACACTGCATGCCGCCTTCCATTGGATACCAATAGCCAAGTCGTTGGAACATGCCTTTATTAACTTGTTCTATCACCATTTAAGGATTCTGGAGTGTTAATTCAGAAATAACAAATATCGGACAAGTAACAATACACAATAGCTGTATAGTAAAGTAAATTACTGAGAAGTTTATTCATTTACTTTGGTATGTATTAAAGAACGATGATTGGACTATTCATCAAAATGAAGTCTTAGTTACAGTTAATTAATAGAACCAGTGGTTTGTTTGTATGAGATTAGGAGTATGTGGTGAAGCAAACGCACAAAAACAGTAGGGACACTGATTCAGAAATTATTTGGCTATCCAACAATTCATTTGAACGAATTGCCTGGTAGTATTTTAATGATTTCATACCACGCGGAGAAAACCTGAACTTATTTCCTCTCCATTTCAAATCTGAAAAAAAGTTGTTTAGGTTACCTATGGGGTTTCTAAAATTAGTCTAGACCAAAAATGCATGGATAGTATATTTTTAGTATATCTTTTTATTACTAGACTATCTCTTGGTAACATGTCATTCTTGAGCCTATAGAATGACCTAGGTTAATATTATCTTGATTCGAATATGTGACCAAATAAAGACGCATGATGAATACACTGTAAAATTCGAAAATAATTGTCAAATAAGTAACTCAGATATGGAGCAGAGGTTTAGAACTTAGAAAAATAATTTGTGCAACGAGTCACATAGAAAGTATACAGTAGTAATAGTCTGTAGCAAAATATAACAGCAATAATATATTTGCAGTTCTTATGGGTTCAAAATTAAAGATAATTAGATTCTAATCTGTTTTGGGCATAAACATTCATTAGTTAACAGGCGTCTAGTCCAATACTAATAAGCGAAATCTATAGTATGATTAAATTGATAAACAAATTCACATTACTTATCAAAAATTCCATGATTATTTTCTTTGAGTAATTAATGTACAAAGAGTCGACAATGAATAATCCAGTCCTGGTAGTCAGTGAAGGGCTGTTGGTCTGTGTATATTTCTCTTCTAAAGCCTTTCATTTTGTGTGGGTATTTGATGTAAAAATCATCAACATTTCTATTTCTGTATCGGTTTGTGAAATGTCAAATTTCATTCACATAAACTCTAAATAAATTCTTCCTTTAGAAATTCAACGCCAACAAACTTCTTTATAAAGTCTCGGTGTCAGTTTTCAAAGAAGACATACTAGAGTACATGATTTGGATAGCAAGTATAATTAATTACTAAATTTAGGAAAAGACGAGCAGGGTGTTGGAATTCCTTGTTCAATTATTCTTTTTATCATAACTACGCTAACGTAATGTGTTTAACAATAGTAATAAGGTTGATAACAATCACGCAATGATATTTTACATAATTGTGTTACGAATTCAAAAATGTTTATGACAGTAAATTACGAATGATTTTTTCTAAAGATCCTGACTACAAGAAACTTCTGTGCTTACTATTCCTGATGTAAGCATTCGATATTGTGACTGAAACAATCGTTTTGATTGATTAGAGAGGCATGCAAATGGAGGTTAGGAAGGCATGGAGCAAAATATTTTCATTTTCTTAGGGTTTATCTCCGTAACAGGGTCGTACTTCGAGAACATCTCTTCTAAATTTTTCCCCTCATTGACCTTTGTGTCACTTGTCAATCTTAGTTTCGAATCCTCAGGTTTGTCCAATCAGAACTCGGTGTTATGATAACTTGTGTCCTACAATTCAATGCATTTACCAATCACCAGTCCAGTATAAATTTTGTACAAAATTGTTTGCTTTCTGATTGGCTGTTCAATCATCTCTTTTCATTAATTCAAATAGAATACTCCTGTCCCTGTCGATCAAAAAATTCTTTAGAACTTGCTAGGTATAACTAAATAGCCTGGGTTGTTACGATTGGCACATAGTTTACTATAAAGACTACATATTCGGCTTACTCTTATTGGATAAATGTTTTTCTGAGATTTTTGTCCATTTCATCTGCTATCGATCTGTTTGCGTATTTTATATGGCAACACGTGTCACCTTGACAACGCCTAACGCGATTAAATTGAACTAGTCATCCTTTTGGTATAGATTTATGTAATCATTTTTAAGTAATAACGGAAGTTGTAATTGCAATAATTAACCCTCTTCATGGATGTGGATTATCCAGAAACGTCATTTACGGTAAGCAAATTTCACACGGTAAGATAGGTTATTTCTGTTCCATGAAGCTGTGTACACACCTTTTGATAGCTTTTCGTTTTTATGTATACTATTCAGATGACTGATTTTACCCATTTATCTGTGTGTGATATTTTATTTTAGTGACGGTTGAAGTTAAATATGAATGTTTCACTCATAATTTCTCAAAACTAACGGTCCATTTACGTAAGGATCTTTAGAGATTGTATTGTTTTAGACCGCAAGGAGATAAATTCAGTCGTTTTCTGATAATAATATGTTTATACTTTTTTGTACTAATCGTTCAGTTACGAAGGCTGGCTACTTTGTCTTATAATTCACCGTACCATAAATACATAACTTGTTCAATCTAATTAGACTCCTTAAAGGAAACCCTTAAAAGATAGACCTAAGTAAAAACACCTAAACTTTTGCTATAAAGGGAACCAGTTAAAAGAATTTGGGTAGCTAATAATTATGTTCATTATCTAAACCAAAGTATTTACTGGAGAAAAAACGACAAAAATGGACTTTTACCACTACTACTTTAAGTAAATGTGGCCTTAGTAATTGATGTTCTTAATATTTCACATGTTTTGGTCCCGTCTCTGAGTATGACTGTAGTAATCGTGGTATGTGTGTATTTTAATGTAAAATGAGCTATTTTTGAGTCGGATGGAAAAATCTCTGATGTTGTAATGCCCACTTATTCAGTGCGATCCGTGAAGAAAATTCTTGTTGATAATTCTTTAAACACTGTAATTCAATTTTGTGTAATTACAGATTTTTCCTTTACAGTACATTAAATACTATGACTCTCAAAGTAGAGTTATTATTCAACTTGTTATCATCATTTTTCAGAATCTGAGTATTGATACATCATCAGTTAAATATCCAATGCTTCAAGCTACTTTGTGGCCTATATATATATATATATATATATATATATATATATATATATATATATATATATATATATATATATATGGCTTATGTGTCCATTTACTTCATCTTATAATTGGAATCAGAACCCTCTTGATACTTCCATTTAGGGATTACCTACTTAGGAAGGTATATAATGTTTTCTTTCAAAATGATATTAGATTCAAACCATGTTAAATAAGGTTTTTATCCGCTTTCTTGAACATTTGTATATGATTCCAACCATATTTTATATCATTTGTTTAAAGGACTTCCAAGTTTTTGAATTACTCGGCCGGGGAGGCTTCGCACAAGTCTATCGTGCTAAATCCACGATTACCGGGCAAGAAGTTGCTATTAAGATGGTATGTTTCTTTCTTATTTTATGAATATTAAAATTTTAAAGATTACCTCACCTGTTGTATAACCATTTTTCATATCACCTGTTATATTTTAGTTTTGGTGCTCTTACGGTGTAAGTTTTTGCTTTACGTAGGATTTGAAATATCTTTCTCAAATCAATAGATTTATTCAAAGAATTAGTTTCATCATCCAGGAACCATAATACATAAGAGTCGGCAGCTTACCCCTCTAATTCATATGAAACACACACATGTACATGAAAATTATTATTTTTCAACGAATTTTGAATTTTAAGATAAATTAATCTGTTTCTTAGCTAATAACTTTCATTTGTATTAGAAAGAATCCATGGAACTACTGTAGATTATCGGTCATGGCGTTCTGATAGGGGATTAAACTTGAAGAACATGTATTTTTTAAAAATTTTCATATTAGTTGGTTAGAAATTTTTTTCTTACTAAAATAATAAATGAAATAGTTGTAGCTAGTCCCATCAAGAGACAATTTACATTATCACCGTAAAGTAATAGTTTGTAATTGTTCATTTTTTATTTTTTTGTAACATTTGCTTATTTACATAGATTACTTCATGATCTAGTAGTACTAATTAACATAGTGTCATATGGATTAATTTCTTCCATTATGTTTAAAAATTTAGTCGTAAGTAAGCGATTTAGTGTTAAGTTGGACTAAATCAAATAATGTTCAGGATAATATCACTAACAATTATCGATTCACGTTAGCATATCATATGTAAAAACTGCTTGGTCTTCTAGAACTATTTTTGCATATATATTTACAGTAATAGTAACACGTACCTGTATATATTGCAAATAATTTTACACAACTATTTATCTATTGTTTTGTTAAACTGACTTGTAGATCGATAAAAAGGGTATGCTCCAACATAGACTTGCCAACCGTGTACGCCGTGAAGTAGAAATACATAGCCGTCTCAAGCATCCTTCAATATTAGAAGTTAGTTACATTGTGAAATGTTTTTTCAAACCGTTCCAGTTTTTTTTCAAATTGTTTATTCGTTATCTGCATACATCTTTTCTTTTTACAGTAAGTATATTTAAATTAAAACCAAAGTAGCGTGTATTGTTTATCAGTCAGTGAGTTAGTACTAGACCCCGAATGCCCTGGTACGGCTGAGAGTAGGACGAGTCCGCTCTCCCTCTCGAAATGCTCTCATATGGCCACGCGTATATAGCCTCTGTCAGGGAAGTCCTACTCACTGCATTCTCGTGGCGGGGGTAACGTTTACGGAATTGAGAGGACGGAAAACGAATGTCCGGCGCTTTAACCGAGTTGGTCGACACGGAAAGTTCACCTAGGGGAGTTGGAAAACTTTGATTCCAAACCAATGGTGCACATGGGCTCCAGTTTCCTGAGGGAACAAATGGCGTATGAATCAATCGTTGGTCACCGGCTACCATGGAACTGCATCTTCTTACGATGCTCCACTGCCTTGTGGATCAGACCTTCAGGTCAAAGGCTCCGGGTGTGGCCCCCTAAGAAAACCACCTGCTTCAGTTTGGGCACCTGAGCAGTATCATAGCCCTCACACAAACCAAATGAGATTTGTGTGGCGCATATATATATATATATATAGTGCCACTTTGTACCAATATTTATGTGTTTAAATAAATAAATAAAATAAATTAGGCATCTAAGAATTTGTGACGAATGTTTAGCTGGTCAAGTTTTTACACCTTATGTATTAGTGCAGCGAAAAAACAAAGTTCAAAAAGTGGGAAAGAAAATTAAATGAAAATAGTATCGTTTGGATAAGGGACTAAAGCAAAAGGAATAGACAGTATGAAATAATGAAAAGTATGTAATAACGGTAAACTCAAGATTGTTCTTTGAGTCAAATGTTACCAAACGTGTTAAAATTTGTGAAAGGATACTTTCAGGTATATTCATCATCTTACAGTTTACTTGTTTTAATCCTCTATATCTCAAATAGTTTATGTTTAAAATTAAAACTAATTAGATTATATTCACGAAGACAGTGACACTAAAAAAACAACTAGTTATAATTATGAACACAATTTCAATTTTTTTTTAACAGTTGTATACGTGTTTTGAAGATGAAAACTATGTTTATTTGGTTTTGGAAATATGTCATAATGGAGAATTACAAACTTATATACGCCAAAATGGCCCTGTAACTGAAGATACTGGTAGGTAATTAGTTATTTGAAAGTAATAAAATCTACTCATCTCATCAAAGAATAGTTCTTAACACTGACTTTAAAACAATTTTAAGTTTGTATGTAATCGCTTTTTACTGGTTCGTACATTTATTTATCAATGTTTGAGAATGATGTTACAGTAATGAAGCGGTCCAGGATGTAGTTCAACCTGTATTGTGTACATATTTTACAAAAATCAAATCTCCCATGTGTATTATATCATGCTACCAGCCTAACTAAGGGTCATGTGTTTTTTCTTCAGATGGGCAGTGATCCCGTAATTCGAAAGATCACTTGTCAAAAGTGAAACTTCTGATTAGAGTTGTATATTTCTTGTTTTATGATCAGTTAGTTGAGTAGTCTCATACTTTTAAAACAGTAATTCACAGCTAACATTGCGAATAATTCATTATAATTTTTTATCGATATATATATTTCAAAGTTTACTTATTAACCAGCTGAGAAAAAAGCCATCTTTTGAACTAGAGCTTGTTCCTCACAGTCATTTAACTATTTCGAAGGAACTTCTCGGTCTTCTACATTGTTCGGAGATTCAATATTACTGTGTTTAATGTTACCCTGGCTATCAGAAGAGGCGTTGGCTTTGTGGTTCCCACAGTCCCGGTTTTCACTACGGGGTGCCATATTTCTTCAATATGAAGATTTTACCTCCCAGGGCAGTTTGACTGGTTTCTTCTAGGTGGTGATTCTATGAAGGGGTTCCCGTTTACGAGGTGAGGTTGCTAACCCCACACACGACCCTCCATTTTTATCTGATCTTGGGGCCGGTGGTACACCTAGAGAAGCTCTAGGCGGAGTTAAAGTTAGTTATCATGTTATATGCCCGAGGTGAATTCGCCATCCAAAAAAGTTTTATTTCTTTCAGTATGCTAATATTTAGGTAGTGTGCATAGAAAGGTATCCTGTCCTTGGTTTTTGAAGCAAAACAATTTGATATTTTCACATCAAGCTGCTTTTGTTACTGTATGCATGTTAAGTTTCGGTCGTATGTTGTTATTTTTAAGTTAATGATTGGATATTTTCTTGTTTTTTTTTCTCGTTTCAAATTTCAACAGCCCGACATTATTTAAAACAATTGATCAGTGGTCTTCTTTATTTACATTCACACAACATAATTCACAGAGATTTAACTTTAGCAAATCTTTTGCTGACTAAAGATATGAAAGTCGTAAGTAGTGCTATGTTTTTATTATTGTTTTGATGTCAAGGCTGCTCGTCATTGTCTATTGATTTTATAGCACATTAAATGTGGTTAATGTATTCTACGAATGTACTCTGAACAAACACCTATTTCTTGAAAGTTGTGATGACGTCAAGTCTTTTATTCAAGAAATCTTTGATGACGGCATACATATCCTAAAATATTTCTAAGATTGGAATTCCTGTCGTTTTCAAACTTGTTCATCAATTACTCTCTTGTCCATTTTAAGTGACATGGCTCCATCTAGACTTGTTATTTTTAAAATTGTTACTATAAGCCTTTTATACCTACAAAATCCTGTTACATGTCTAATTATTCCAGTAAATACTTGTCCTTAAAATCTCAAAACCACTGGTTTTCTGTTTCTGGTTGCATCCGATCACCAAACTTCTTCAGAATGGTTCTTTATTCCTTAAAAATCGCTAAAGAAAATTCGATCATAGGATGTGGTGTTTCCCATTTCAATTCTATATTGATTGAATAGCTAAATACTAAAAGCTCATTGTGTTTCAGTTTTGCTTTCTTTAAAAAACCGAATACGTCGCAGTATTTCTCAACCCACTACTTTCCAAAACAGCAACAATAGCCATTGGAAGGCGGTGCTACTGAACAAAGAGAAGGTTGTTGTACTTAGATTGTTTCGTGTACCCTATATGTCCTGTTTTCTACATCAAATTCCATGCAATGATTCACTCATGGCACCTGCTCAGTATTTCTATATGTCATCAGTTTGTACATTAGTGGCAAGTAAATACTTACATTTTAATCTTACTACGGGTTGTAAACTACCACCAATATTGTATTATGAAATCATCTTTCACGCCATTCATGATTTTACATGTTCATCGATTAGGTGCCAAAACGAATAAATTAATTGATGCTTCTGAGTTCCATTTCATAGGTAATTAAGTCCAATCGAAATAAGCTAATGATGAGTTATGAAAGTATCTAGCCAAGTTTACCATCTGTTTATGGGAGCCTCAATAGTCTTATTCACTACTATTGGTAGTAAAAGATGAATAAGGGATAAACATAAATTACCTCTCATAAGTAACGATTTTTCTCCCTATGGAATTAGTTAGTAGTACATAGTAGGTCTTTATAAAATAGCTACTTTTAATTTATATATTTTAATGGTCTTTCGAGTCAGTGACACATAAGGGATTTTATTATATATATGCTGTTTACAGCTATCCTCTTGGATTTCATTGTAAAATTCTTTATCTCCTTATTGGAATAGAAAATTGCTGACTTTGGATTGGCTACTAAAATTGAGCCAGGTGAAGATCATAAAACAATGTGTGGGACACCAAATTATATTTCCCCGTAAGTGAATTGTTTATATTGCCAATATTCATGTAATATACACACCAATTTGAATGTAACAATTATGTTCTCATGCTTATTTCCTTGCATATTTGGGGTCTTAGTTGGAAATGTTATTAATTATTTGCTCTTTCTTTTCTGAAGGGAAGTCGCTAGTCATAATCAACAGGGTTTAGAAACTGATGTCTGGTCGTTAGGGTGTATGTTTTATACGCTAATTGTTGGTCATCCACCATTCGATACTCGAGAAGTTCGTTCAACTTTGAATCGTGTCTTAGCTGTCGATTATGAATTACCATCAACTCTTTCAGCTGAAGCAGCTGATTTAATTAATTCTTTACTTCGACGTGAACCTCAAGAACGTCTCAAGTTGAAAGCAATCATACAACATCCATTTATGTTAAAGAAATCACGTCCTCAACGTCACATGGTGAGTAATTTTGTGCACATCTATAAATTGTTTGTTTTCAACATACTTTTCTTCTTGATGTCTTGTAGTAGCCAAAGTGTGTGGATTTCTTTCAGTTAATATCAGGTTTATTAGCGTGTGTCTTTACTAAATATAACAAGTAGCTATAGATTTATGTACATGGTCGATAAATTTCCTGTAACTAAAGTCCATGCTCTAGATTTGTATTTCTTCATTCACTAAGTATCTGTAATCACTTCCTAAAAACAAGCTGGGAAATTTCACTCATTCAACTTATCAATGACTTCTGTTTACAATTTTAAAACATTCTATTCACTCGAGTGTTACATCAACAGTCTTCAAAATAAGTGTAAAATATTTACGTTTTTCCGCTTTCTTTTATCGGAAACATAGAAACTAGTTCGTTTTTATACGGTTTAAATTGTTAATTTTATTAAATATGAGAGTACTTTTTTCCATGATTTATGCATGTTGATATTAGAGTAGATGAAATGTGGCTAGCAGTGAAATCAAGAACGCGCGTTTCTCTGTATTTTGGGTTCGTCAGCTGAATGAACCCACGTTACAGAGTTGATGCTCACTCCGGAACTCGAATCTATTACAGTTTGCTTCAAACACCATCGCATTTATCCACTTAGCTACTGGTTTACACAGGTTGATATGGTTGTGCAAATATTTTCTATTATCTATGATTCACTTGGCACCACATCTAATATCGAGGTCATAATTTAATAACGTTTGAAAATAACTGCATTTGTGTTCAGTTAACTATCCATATTTCTTGCAAATTTCTAACTTCAATTATTTTTGTTTTTAGAAAACGTCTAATGACAGTGGGATTGATTCAATTTATCGCACACCGTTAGGATACTTATCCAACAGTCTTAAATCCCACCATCTTCGCAAAGTGAAGTGTAATGAATCTAACACTCACCCTTGTAACACTCCCATTTCTACAGCCATCTCAGATACCCAGTGTGATACAAGTATCCCTTACTTTTTGGCATCCGCACAACCCTTGTCTCATGCAGTTACTAGTTGGGACCCTTCGATTAATGTTCATGCAGATGTACAACGGCCCACCGAGCAACTTAATACTAATCCGAATATCAGACAAACATGTTACTCTGACGGTGCTTTTGAACAGTCCCGTTCAGTTTTCTCACAAGTATCGGATTCGGAAATTAAGAAATCATTATTAAGTCATCGTAATCAACTTGTCAACTCAACAGTTACCCGGGCTCACAATAATTTATCTGGACCTTCTCTTTCCTTACCTTCACATCCAACTGCTACAGAGGTCATAAAAACGCAGCATGCCGATTGTGTGAAAGGTAACACTAATATTTCCAAGTCCGAGTTATCATCGAACAGTATTAGCAAGCCATTCTTAACCCATCCTTTACCGTTAAACACGTTTCGCTTGAAGCCGATGAGAACTTATACACGTTTAGCTGTGATTAACATTCTACAGGATGAGTCTGTTTGCCTGGAATTTTTGGGAGGTTCAGCTAAAACTCGACAAAACCAGACTTCAGTAATAAAAGGCAATCAGAACCTTCGGGTTGTTGAGGTGATGGGTATCAATAATACTGGACAAAATATCTTGATCTATAGACCAAATATGGGAAAAGGAGTACCGTTAAATGTTCAGGGGCTCGGTGACTCATCTCAAACAAATTTAGCAAACTCTGAAACCATGAACTTTGGGAGTCCTCCACCTGCATCTCCAGGTGATCCACTCGAGTTTTATACTTTAAATACCCTACCTCAAAAGTACTGGAGAAAATATCAATTTATTTCCAAGTGAGTACATTGAGTTTATTAGGTATCGATGCACAGTATATTTGTTATGTATCCGATGTCAATTGGGAGTTAACTTCTCATCTTCACTGATCATTTAAAGCATTTGTTTGGTGCATTAGAAAAAGATTGTTTTCTAGAGTTATTTGAGTACTGTTGAAGCTGTTGGTTATCAGTTAAGTATTCAATTTACAATCAATAAACCACAGGTTTGCATCGGTCTTCAACTAATAGTATAAAGACAATAAAGTGATATCTTAAGTCAGTACACCTTCGTGACCGCTAAAGTTTTCATTATTCCAATTGTATATCAATCCTTGATCAGTATGATTTTTTACTTGTGGCTGGTCTTCTCGTCTAAGAAAGTTACTACCCTTTAGAAACAATAAATTATTGCACTTACAAATAATAGACACTGTATCGTTTTAGTGGTTAAATGTAATGAACTTCGACTCGTCAGTAATAATGAATTGGTTTCTTTCAATTTTTAGAAGTGTTTTGACTTATTATGGTCTCATTTCAGAATATTGTTTTAATAGCTTTTATTTTATCATGTATACATACTATCAGATTCGTTCAGATGGTTCGTGCTCATACTCCTAAAGTAACACTTTACACTGATAAAGTCAAATGTATGCTTATGGAAAATGGTCCATCAGGAGATTTTGTTACTGAGTTCCATAATGATGGTACACGGGTATTATGTACTTCTGATGGATCATTACGTATTAGTCAGACAACAGAGCAGAACAATTCATTGAAAGTTAAAGAGAATATTACACCAACAACAATTACTCTTGATTCAAATCGAAGTCTTTCAACGCTTTCTCCAGAGATAAGAAAACTTATAGATTATGTATATGCAGTAAGTCGTTTCATTTTACCAATAATTACTGCAACACAAATACTTTTATGACTATTAAATTTTATTCATACTTTATATTTATCAATTATTTTTAATATATTATTTCATACTAATTTCTGTATAGAGGCCATAGTGGACATTTATTTTCGATTGGAAAAGAGAAAAATTGGATTGCCTAAGATGAGATATGTTCTGATAAGTTTTTCATCCCATTACTAAAAATCACGGATTCTCTTTTTTGAGAGCTTGGAAATTCTTACTTATATGAAATCCCAAATCATTACCAACTAAACTGTCCACTGGTTACCAGTAGTAAATGCTCTATTCAATAAGTTCTCTCAGCCGAGACGTTTAGAACTATGGGCGAAACACTTTATGGAGCAGTTCAGCTGGCCATCAGCTACTCTACAACTGCACACCAGTCTCAAACGGCCTGAATAGAAGATTGGAGTAGGTCCCGCGACTCTGATTGAAGTTCAAAAAGCTATAGCTAATCTGAAACGAAGAAGAGCAACTGGTCCAAATGGATTGGCTCCAGAGGTCTTTAAGGATTATGGTCCAGTTTTAGCGACTAGTTTGACTAATATTTTAGCTAAAATCTGGGAGTTGGACATCATCCTATCTAACTAGTTGCAATCACTGATTATCCCAATATATAGGAAGAGGTCAAAATCATCCTGTGATAAACATAGAGGGATTATTTTGATTAATATAACATGTAAAATACTACATTAACAATAATTATCGGTCCTCTAAAAAAGACTTGCGAACTGCAAATACGAGAAAATCAGACTGCTTTCAGACCTGATTGTGGCTGCATCGACCACATATTCACTATTCGTCAGGTTTTAGAACACAAGCATGCTCATTAGCGTCCAATAATGGTGGTCTTTCTTGACTTAAAGGCAATATTTGGCTCTGCAGACCGAGAGGTTCTGTTGCAGTTTCTGTCATTGAAAGGTGTACCTCAAAAGTACATAAACCTTGTGAAAGCTCTTTACTCGAACACTATTAGTCAAGTCAGAGCTCACGGCGAACTGTCATCTGATTTTTCAACCTCAAGTGGTGTCCCGTAAGACTGTCCACTATCTGTATTTTCGTTCAATCTGACCATAGACCTACTGCTGTAAATAACGTGATCGTTGTGTGAATTTCGAGGAATTGATCTCCTACCAGGAGATACGCAGGTGAAATAGTTCTGTTTGGTGAAGACTCTGACAAAATGCAGAGTCTTTTGGTAGCACTAAGCAAGAATGCTAGGATGTTTGAGATGCGTTTCTTTCATTCCAAATGTAAGTTGTTGCCTCAGAACTGGCCTGCATCAACACCTGAACTGAGGATAGGGAGTGAAGTAGTCAAACGCGTCTACAACTTCACTTATCTTGAAATTCTGACCAGTCCTAATAAGTTGATGTCTGACGAAATCTGTTCACGGATTCAGAAAGCTCATTTGGCTCTTGTCAACTTCCGTAACCTATGGCGAAGACGGGATATCCGTCAATCAATTAAGGGACGAGTATACTGCGCAGCAGTTCGCTCTGTTCTACTTTACGGCTGCGAAACATGGCCAGTAAGAGTAGAAGATACTCGTAATTTACTAGTATTTGATCACAGAGATCTTAGAAGTATTGTTCGCATCTACTGGTATCACCAGGTAAGTAATAGTGAGGTTAGACGCAGGATATTAGGGAATGATGATGAAGTTGTGAATCCTCATCGACTGAGATGGTTGGGTCACATGTTACGTATGCCTGAACATCATCGATTACCATGGCGCACAATGCTGACTAGTGTTGGGGATGGTTGGAAGAGAGTTAGGGGCGGCCAAACCAAAACATTGCATCAGTCCATAAAATCACCAACTTCTGATATGAGCCATGTTGGTAGATGCAGATTATTTGGCTGGAGTCTGCGTGACTATCGTAACCAATGGTTAGAGACTGAGTGTAGGCATGTTCGGGATGCGATTCTCCCCCTAGAAATGTAAAATGTTAATTCAGGATTGGGTTACATCGGCACCTGAACTAATGATAGGGAGTGAAGTAGTTGAGCTTGTTGACCGCTTCACTTATCTTGGGAGTCTCATTAGCCCTTGTGATCTGGTGTGTGACGAAATCTCAGTACGGATATAGAAGGCTTGACTAGCTTTGCCAACTTGCGTCATTTACGGTGTAAACGAAATATCTGTCTAGCAGCACTTCGTTCCGTCGTACTTTATGGTAGTGAAACATGGCCGATAAGAGTAGAGGATATTCGTAGGCTACTAGTGTTCGATCATAGGTGTCCTCGAAGCATTGCTCGTACATCCTGGGACCACCGGGTAAGTAATGCAGTTGTTAGGAAACGAGTACTAGGTAGGGATGGCAAATCGATTGATGAAGTAGTGAAACCTCATCAGTTGAGATGGCTGGGATTGTGTTACGTATGCCCGACCACCGACTGCCCCGACGTGCAATGTTTCATGGTGTAGGAGTAGGTTGGAAGAAAGCTAGGGGCGGCCAAACCAAAACGTGGCACAAATCCATGAAGTCACTGACAAGTGGACTGGGCCATGTTGGTAGGTGTAGACTACCTGGTTGGGATCCGCGAGATGATAGCAATCGATGGTTAGAGACCTTGAATGACATGGCTCAAAATCGTTTGCAATGGCGAAGATGCATCCACTCTTTGTGTTCTACCAAATTCTAATCTGAATTCTTCATGTCTGTATCCCTTTTCTCTTTCCAAATTTATTTCACTGTATTATACTCCTTCAATAACATCTTCAAACCCTAATCTTTCCGATTACTGCTTATACTCTTACTACTTCTACCATTATGGGATTTAAATCGACAACTTCATCTCTGTGCTAATGTGGTATGGCAACTCGAACTGATGTACGTACGAAGTTCTACGTTGTGACTGACTGAGTGATATGGCTCAGAATGGATCACAATGGTGTCGGTGTATACACTCTTTGTCTTTCCTTAATCTGCGGGATTACAATTGCTTTATACCTTTATTTCTACGAACTGTTTCTTACTTCTATTTTATCCTTATATGCAATCTCTGTTTTATGTATTACTACTATTGAAGTAAGTACTTCTATGAATTTGGTGATCATCTTTATATATATATATATATATATATATATATATATATATATATATATATATATATATATATATATTACCAAACAGTTCAAGTTTGCTTTCATAATAAATTAGAATTGATTTACTACTCTACTCTTTCTTTTTGAATTAGTGCCGAGATCATTGCCGAAAAATTGAACAACTATTAGCGAGAATGGATTCAGAAGAGAATGACACATCGGTATTATCTTGTTCTTCATTTCCTGTTATATTAGGACATCGTCCTAAAATAGGTTTTAACCTAGTTACTTCATCACAGAATCATTCGAAACCGACATCAGTCACGAACATGATAACGAATGAATTAGGTGATCAAGTTTCATTATCCTCACAACTGTATAATTTAATATCTGATTGTTTGAAAGAAAAATATAAAAATCCCTTATCAGAAAATCAAGCAAAACATGATCGTTTACCTACAAATGCAGTATTTGTCCCGAATGTGGGTTGGGCAAACCAGTTTAGTGACGATAGACTTCAAGTCCAATTTAATGATGGAGCCAAACTCTTATTAGTTTATAACCGAACCTTAGTCTATGCTATTCATTATTCTGCACCTCCTGAAACCAATCAGGAACTACCAAAAGAATATGTGTACAACACATCTGATCCTCTCCCAGAGCATATTTATCGAAGGTTAGAGGTAATGCCAACTGTTATCAAACAACTTCGTACAGTTGCCAACAAAATTATTTCTTGAAATTGTATAGAATAAATATACTTTCCCTATAACTCATCATCAAGTATGGCTGTGAAACTTCTGTTTTTATCTAAAATTTTCCTATCAATTTCTATGGAATTATCATTCCACGTTCACACTTGTTCTTTCTTCATCTAAACTATTGAAAAATTAACCCATCGCTTGTAAAAATTTTCTTTTAGTTGCTTTTCTTACTTTATTATTTGTTTTTGCATACTCCAGTTTTCCTACTGTATCATTGTTCCAGTATTTACCAAATGGCGCCTGTTCTAAAACAATTTTTTGTTAAATATATTTCTATGTCTGTAAATAACTTGCCTTACGATTTTTCCTATTGACTCATACTACTGTACACATCGTAGAAATATTTGTAGACCAAGATGTCAAAGTATGTGTGGTTGTCGCCACGTTTTCATAACACTATCGTAAATTACTGTTTAGTCCTCTTATTCCGTTATTCATAATCAACAACAAGCCTGACAAAAGTGTACGTTAGCCCAAGTTGCCATACCAGGTTAACATGGAGTGATGAAATTAATAAAAGGAATTGTCAAAATACTGATGATATCTGTGGCAATAAGGAATATTAAAAACTAGTCTTCCGTAAACTTTTGGCTCAGGGGCCTAGCAGACGTCACTTTTCTTTTTATGGCGGAGTGTAAATCATGCTCAATCGCTTTATTAACATTAGTGCCACGTTGGAAAGATGATGGAACCTTAAAAGAAGTGTTGATACTAAGGTTATTGGAAATATTCAGATGTAAAAAAGGGGTTTGGTCATGACCAATGCGATCTCAAGTGTTGTTGAAGGTGTGCAGACAGTTCTCATTCACCTGTTTCTCCAAATCGTTGGAAGGATACTTTTTTATGAACCTGAAAAGAATCGGTTTGGAGCGGCCGTAGAGCGCGAGATGCAACTGATAGAACCCAATCACAAACTGTTTGAGTATAGTAGGTGTCATTACCAAGGTTTGACTTGATAATTTCACATAAATTGAACATTGGGTAGGTTTTCATAAATAAAATAATATACTTGTAATATCCCGATCAGTAGAAAAGTTTTTTCTAAATTCCTCCTCCTTGTGGGAAGCCAACACATCTGAATAGGCTGATGGTCTTAGGGGGTAAATTATTGCCACCACACCTCACTGAATTTGGCAACATTCTCGGACTCTAATTTGCTGCTTTCAGTTTTACTACTCTCCAACCGACCTGGATGACTTATCAGAACTTAAGGAAACGGTGTTCCAGTCAATATAATTCAGTTTATCATCAAGATAGGTAAACCTAACCACCTTGTCATTGTAGAAGCTACACTATTACCAACTTGTCCACAGTCTCTTAATTTACTAAATGACCAATTGAATTTTAATAATTGCCTGATAACTTAGTCAGACGCTCAAAAACAAATAATAACTTCCCAGAATATCCTGTCGAAGCCTTTGTATCACAGATTTACTTCCAAACAACGAAAATCCAGATTGGAATTGGCGCCACAGCTTACTCAGTAAAGCTCATAAGGCTTTGGACTGAAAATGAGTCATTACCTTACGAGAACTATTCCAACAGTACTGATAGCACCAACCGTTACGTCACAACTATACCCATCTTATTTTCAACAGCACACTGACTAGTCCTTTAATAGTGTAAGCTATCAAAGAGGAAATGTGATCATATGCTTGGTTGAGTAATCTTTCAGTGTTCGAATAACTCATTAACACACTGAATTTCACTTAGAAATTACAATCAACTCAATAACAAAATAGTTACCCTCCTATAACATTGAATGACTATTGAGTTAGATCAGGAATTAAATGAGGCTTGGAAATATTAGTTTCTGTGTTGTAATTTAGCAGCTGGACGATATGCTCAGTGCGAGGGGTGAAGTTTCTGAATGTATTTCTATCTCTGGGTTGTCAATGAGTTGTTGCCAGTAACCCTCAAATGAAATGTCTACTCAGCGTTCAATGGCTTTCCTTTTTTTCAATTATTAGAGAGAGCTATCTTTGATTAGGTATTCACTTTACAGGAACAAGAAACGATAAATGTTCTTATAACCGTATGCGGATGTAATGGTTGTTACTTACTTCCACCGAATAAACTAACTCAGTTGTCAGTGTTGATTTTCCTTAATACAAACTATTCAATTCGTGTTATTTACTAAATTATTTTGTTCATATGTTTAAAAGGAACACAACAGCGGTAATTATAAAAAGCTTAATATGCGGGTGAACTAATGCATACATCGAAATTTTATGTAGTTACTGAGACTAAGTTTAGTCAAATATGATTAGGTAGAAATAACTATAGATATTAAGGTCAAACTGACCAACCGCTTACTCAGATAATACTTAAGAATTTTTTGTTGTTTACCATAGAGACAAATAAAAAAGCAGGGAAACGCGAACAATTATTAATATGTGTATTTAAGCTAAGTGAATAATTAATTCCAGCATAAACATGTAAATAGGTGTTCACCAGTTTCGGTGACTTATTTCATTTGTTTGTGTCTTAGATAAGTAACTATGTTTCACAGAAATTCACCTCAATTCAAAATTAGTAAGTTTCATTCTATAGTAACGTCTCTGACTGTGAAGCTGAGTGACACGGGATCGAATCCGCCAGGGAGCATCAGTTCCCTCAAAATTACAGGTACACCTTGCTGACGAGTGCCAAGTAGCACGAAACCCGGGTCCAGGGTTTCCTGTTGACCATCTCCAACCACCATTTTACCTCAATATATATAGTACACGCAGTGTCGAGCCACCTAGACTGGTGGCTACATTGTAACTTGATCGATAGCATTCGATCAGCACTAAGAAGGACTTGACACGCATGACATTGATCACCACCCAGTGATCAATCAACTGTAAAAATTATCTCCTCTGGCGAAAAAGAAAAATTGAAGTTATTTCATGTTTACTTATCAAACAGTTGGTTTTTGTAATTTACAGTATGATATGTATACTATCATTTTTTACACTGTTATTGAAATGCAATATAAGTTATGTAGATAAAATGAACACATATAAATCAATAGTTATTAATCTGTTATATTTTGATGAATTCATTCAATGAGATAGAAACAAATATCAACGGAACACTTAAAAGATTATTTAGTTCGTCTAATACTCCTCAGCAGTGCGACCCATAATAGGACGAAACGGCCGTCCAGTGCTTCCAGGTTTTCCATGGTGGTCTAAGTTCGATTGACTCACGATTTCAACTATGAAAATAATGAAATATCCACCAAAACCCCTTCTAACCCTACTGATATGTTCGGTCACATTATTAATATCTTTATAATTATAAATCAGCATCGTACAGTTTGCTTTTTGCAACTTTTACATATTAGTGTAATACAGAATAATCTTTTCGGCACATCTGTTTAGATATACCTTTTAAAGCTCTAATTAAATCGTTTTACGAAACGAAGCAGATTATCTATGAGAACTACTTAAAGAGAAAAATTGCATAAATTATGTGTAAATGCATTATGAGGAAAGAGATTTCTAATTGTCCACTTTATAACTCTGGTAATGTTAATCAATATCAGGGTACTTGTATAAATATACAAGAGGCCTAAAAATACGAAACAAGATGATTTAAAATGAAGTAGTCAAATTCACAAACAGTAAGATCATCTTTCTTATTTTCATGAATGTACAAATATAATAAGAATACAATAGTTCTCGAGATTTTGATATGTCAGTATCATTTTCCGATGACGCCTATGTAGAATGTAGTGGGTTCGGCTTCATATACACATTGAACAAAAGGAATGATAAGATCATCAATTACTTGTTATTCGTGCTTATCTATCAAATGTTACTGGATCGAGTACACATTATAATAAATTCTAAAGTTATTAAGCAAAGAAGTAATAACAAATGATAGCATATAAACTCAATTATTATGTGTGAAAGGTAGCTTTGTATTAATTTACTTAAATAAGAGGATAAATGTGGTTAATGAAGCCTAAATTTTTAAGTTAAAATACATCTTCACTAATACTCTGATTTTGATAAATAAATCTTTTATTTATTACACGTAACATCTTTACTTTAGCTGTATACTTTTTATTTAAACTTCTCTAGTAATTTACTACTAAATTGCATAATAAACAAATCTTTATCTTCATTTTAATAGTTAAGATCATGAGTCAATTGAAGCTAGACTACTGTGGTTCAGCGCTCGCGCGCGAAAATGATAGGTCCTGGGTTCGAATTTCGCGAGGCGGGATGGTGGATGAGCACTGCTGAGGAGTCCGATAATAGGATAAAACGGCTGTCCAGTGCTTCCAGGTTTTCCATGGTGGTCTAGCTTCAATTGACTTATGATTTCAACTATGAAAATACTGAAATCTCCACAATACCCCTTCTGAACATTTTTATCTATTAATTCGTTAACTGTTACATCAAACGGATTGAATCAAAGCTTTCTCTTTTCGAAAACACTGAAATTCTATAACAGTTGCATAACTATCCCAAGTTTTCATAAGTGAAACGTGAAATCTATTACATATTCTTAGCAAAATAAACCGAAATTAATTCTAGGGATTAAAATGTTGTAAGTTAACTAAAACACTGTATACTAACTTATAGGTTTAAAAAAATGGTTGTATAGAATATTTGTTTTGATTAGGCGACCACTTTTAACACACATTATATGGCTATGCATTTTGCTAAATATTATTGTAATAGTTCATTGTTAGTTTTCAGGTTATTGAGTTTTGTATCTAAATAAGTGAACGTTGTCAATTAGCCAGAAAATCATATTATATTCCCTTTGTTTGAAAAGTTTTCAATACAAGTATTACTTGTATTATATACAGTAAATAAAACATGTGTAGCTAAAATTATTCCATTTAAAGTCCCGATTTCAGGTGTTTTGAATACACTTTAATATAGTGTCGAGTAATTTTATAACCACCTAAAGTGGACTAAATATACTTAAGTTATTGACTTACGCTTTATTTTATCTCTTCCAAATATTTGAGG